ATATTCAAGGCAATGAGAAGGCATGCAAGTCAGCAATATACATATATGCAACAAGTAGCAAGGAAAGCATAACACAACTAACACCATTGTTGCTGTGTGCCATTGAATCAATTTGGGCTGATAGTCACCCTATATTATAAAATTAAACTGCTCTATAGATTTCTTATGTAATCTGTGTGGGAGCAGATCACCAGGTCTTATGTTCTATGAAGTGTCTAGGTTTGAACCTCTAACTTTCTGGTTAGCAGTCAAGAGTTTAACTATTGTGCTAACAGTAATTTTAATTCAAGGTCTATCATAGAAAATGAGCTCATGCCAAAATTAAGTGCTTACATGAAATGCAAATTTTAAATCATTTCAGAAAAAGGAAAATAATCAGTGTGAGTTAGAATGTTAACAAAAATAAATACTGGAGGAAATAAGACTCAAGTATAGTAAAATTTGGAAAATCATAGAGTATTTTGAAAAGAATTAACTGCATGATCACATAAAACAAATTTGCTTCACAGAAGAAGATATTTGTAGTTAGCATAGGATTAATTTTGTAAAGTCTTGGCAGTTATTTATTATTTTTTATTAAAATAATATGGCTATCATTGCTGATGCCACATGGATCTTGGCGCAAAGCAAAAAATATTAGAAAGATGTTTACTTGTGTTTTATTAATTATGCAAAGCATTTGATTGTGTGGATCATAACAAATTGTGGATAACATTGAGAAGAATGGGAATTCCAGAACACTTAATTTTACTCATGAGGAACCTATACATAGACTAGGAGGCTGCCGTTTGAACAGAACAAGGGAACACCACATGGTTTAAAATCAAGAAGGGAGTGAGTCAGGGTTGTATCCTTTCACCATACTTACCCAATCTGTAGGCTGAGTAAATAATCTGAGAAACTGGACTTTATGAAGAAGAACGTGGTATCAGGATTGGAGGAAGAATCATTAAAAACTTGCCATACGCTGACGACACAACTTTGCTTGCTTAAGGTGAGGATGACTTGAAGCTCTTACTGATGAAGATTGAAGAATACAGTCTGCAGTATGGATTACATCTTAATATAAAGAAAACAAAAATCCTTACAACTGGACCTATACATAGCATTACAATAGATGGAGAAAAGACTGAAATTGTCAAAGACTTCACATTCATTGGTTCTACAACCAACATCAACGGAAGCAGCAGTCAGGCCATCAGATGAGGTATAGCACAGGACAAGTTGGCTGCAAGGGACCTCTTTCAAATGCTGAAGAGCAAAGATGTCTCCTTGAGGACTAAGGTGCACTTGACACAACCCATGGTATTTTCACTCCCCAGGTATGCATGTGAGAGTTGGACAATGAATAAAGAAGATCAAAGAAGAGTTGATGCTTTTGAGTTGTGGTGCTGTCAAAGAATGCTGAAAGTACCATGGACTGCTAAAAGAACTAATAGGTCTGTCCTGGAGGAAGTGCCTCCAGAATGCTTCTTGGAGGCAAGAATGGCCAGACATCATCTCACCTACTTTAGTCATGTTGTCAGAAGGATCCTTCCCTGAAGAAGGATGTCATGCTTGGTAAGGTGGAGGGTCTATGAAAGAGGGGAAGGCCATCAACGAGATGGATTGACACAGTGGCAGTCAAACACAACTGGCAAAATGATGAAATGAAGAAAATTCAAGAAAGGGAAGAAAAATTGATGCTTAAAAATGTTTTATTTGTTAAAATACAAAAACAAAAACAGTAAAATGTACAGAAAAAACAAAAATGAGCATAAATAGTGGTCATTTAGCAAACTGAGATTTATACCCATTGCACGTAAATTGATAAGATGCAAGAATATAAGACTAATTTTTGAGTTTGGAAACATTTCCTCTCTTCTAAAAAATATTAAGTGAAGGTGATATTAGAGTAAAATGAAAAACTTATGATTCCTTGAAATATTTGGTATCTTACTATAGCTAAATTGTTGTTGTACAAATATTGTTATTGTACAAATTGTACAATAAAAAAATTATTTTTTTTCTTTGTGAAATTTATTCCAATATTTGTTGCTTCCATAAGATCATCAATTAATTGATTGATTGATTGACTGATTGTACAATTGTTATTACACAAACTGTTATTGTACAGAGAACTAATATATTCATAGACATATTCTGTAGAAATAAAATAAAAGTTCAAATTTTCAGGAATTAAACACTGGAAACTTTCTTTTAAAATATATTGGAAAATAATTAAATATGGTGGTCACTTTTTTCTTTTTTTTTTTTTGTTTCTACTTCAAGTAATGCCAGAGTGTCTGAACTTTTAAACTATATGCTGGGATACTGCCCAAATCATTCATGATATCCACCAACTATTTTTTAAATTTTTTTTTTCCTTTTCTCCCCTTCCCCTTCCTTTTTAAATTCTAGGGAATTCTGGTAGGTTGATGGTTATGGCATTTGACTGCTAATCAAAAAGTCAGTGGTTGGAACCCACCAGCTGCTTTAAAGAAGAAAGATGAGGCATTCTGCTTCCATAAAGATTTACAGCCTTGAAAAACCAATGGGGTAGCTATGAATCAGAATTGACTCCATGGCAGGGAGTTTGTTTTTGTTTTTATTTTAAATCGTAGTTTAGAAGATGTATGTGAAGAAAAGATTTATTTATTTATTTATTTGAATGTATGATCTTACAGAAGCAACAAATATTGGAATAAATTTCACAAAGGAAAATAGATTTGTTAGGAATCATGGACCCATTACTCCATTAAAAAAAAACCATCGGTTTCCCAGGCAGTCAGTTCTGTGGCTTAGCGCCTAAGGCATTTGATTGCTAATTGTTTAAACCCACCAGCCACTCCTTGGAAGGAAGATTGGGCAATCTACCTCCTTAATAATAACGCCTCAGGGGTTGCTATGAGTCTAATAGACTATACAGGAGGGAGTTTGGTTTGGGGTTATAAATCTTCCTTCTGAGAAGGCTAGTGGATTTGAATCACCAGCCTTTGGTTAGCAGTGAAATGCCTTCCTTAGGCACTTCACCACCAGCACTCCTCCATTTCAGATAGTTTAAAAGCTGTTTGGACTTTACATGAACGTAGTATATATTTTTTTTTCTTGGTACATATTACTAAAAATAAAATTTGCTGATTATCATTTTCTGAAAGATATATATGTATATATATTAAATATGTATATTAAAGCATTGCTATTCAAAGTGTGGTTCAAGTTCCAACATCCCGCAGCTTCTTAGAAATGTTCTCTCAGGTCCCACTCCAAGTTGCTGAATCAGATTCTACTTTTTTAACAATATCCCAAGCGATTCCTAAGTCCATTAAAGTTTGAAAAGCACTAAATTAGCCTATATAAACTGATTCGTCCGATTCAGTTTTACAGGTAATTTATCCTGGCACCCTAACATGCACTACAATTCAAATTTTACAGATTTATACAAGTCTTATTGAGGAATTGTATTCAATGACAGAAAGATGGAAAGTAATGTCACTTAAAAATTATCATTGAGCTAGAGACTGTTATTTAATTAGTGATAACAATTAATTTAATCCTTACAATACTTTAAAATGTTTCTAGATATAAAATCAACCCCAGATAGGTTAAATATCTATTCTGCACAACTGTTTCATTCAATAAAATCTGAGCACCTCAATAATTTCCTGAGGTAGTCCTGGGATTAAATAAGCATGGTCCCTCACGTTATGGAAGGTACAATATATTATAATTGAATAAACAGTTCTACAGAAGTGTAGAGTGACTCTAAACTGGAAATGTAAACTTTCAGAAGGGAATTAGAGAAAACTTCTATTTGTAAAGTTCATTGAAATTGCTTTCTGAATAACACATTTTTATAAAGTGGGCACTGAAAAAAAGAGGAGTATGTCTTGGAGTTTTCGAAAGGAACCAAGCAGCAGTTGAGCTCAGAACATGGCAAGAGTCCTACAAGGCTTTGTAAAGCAAGGTGCTGCTGTTGGACTTTATGCAAGAGTCACAGGAGATCTTTGGAGGGTTTAAGTGGTAAGTCCAGGTCCACATTTGGGAAAAGCTCCCACACTCAGACCCGCGCAAAGTCTGAGGGCGGGTGGGTTTTAACCCGGCCACTCCCCTAGGATTCCTTTCCTCCACCCAAGTCACCGCCCCCAACTTCTCTGCTTAGTAGTCAGAGGGGGGAAGGGGAAACGTGTACGGGGGGCGGGAAGAAGAAAAACATTTTTAAAAATATTAAAAAGAAAACATTCCACTTGCCAGCAAGCGCGCGGGAAGTTCAGCGCGCTAGTTCCGGGTTTCCCGCCTCCTGGCCGCCCCCAGTCTGCCGAAGCGTGGGTGAGCCCCTATCCCCCTGCTGGGCCCCGCTCGCCCGCGCCTGTCCCTCAGTCGCTCTGTCTACCTCCCTTTGCCCTCACTTCCGCCCTTCTTTCCGCGGCGCCCTGCGCGGGGTCAGCTGGTGAGAGGGTCACTCGGATTCTCTGGGTGCCTGTGATCAGCGTTGCTTCCCGGACTCGCCTGAGCTGAGGCGCCTGCCAGACCCGAAGTGGAGGGCTTGTCCTCACCGAGGCCCTAGTGCGGGTTGCTCTGGCTCTGTGCCCCCTGCCTCCGCTGCAGACACCACTTGTGGACTTCTTAGCCTCCAGCGGCTGTAACTTTAAATCAACTACAGTGAGGCCTATTTTTATTAAGAAACTAGCTTCCAGGGTGTCTGTGCAGAAAGCACGGATTGAAAAGCAGCCTGCCACTGGAAGATTCCTCACAAATTGGCGGGTTAGGAACTTCATTTGCTAGTATCCTTCTTGACCTTTCACCATTGCCAACTTTCAGGGAGGAGTTGGATCAGTTGCAGTCATGCTTATTGATGAGGACATTGCTTGAACCTGGGGGAACTGTGTCTGAGCCCCACTGCTCTGCATTGATCTTGAGACCATTATACCTGGGCTTGGCTTGAGCTTTGGCCTCTTAGAGCCCTTAAAGGAATAGCTCCAAGAGCTAGTGGGGACAGGTTCATGGTGAGGGCCAGGGAAATGAATGTAGCAGCCAAGTACCGCATGGCCTCTCTGTATGTGGGTGACCTACATGCAGATGTCACTGAGGACCTGTTGTTTAAGAAGTTCAGCACTGTGGGGCCGGTGCTGTCCATCCGCATTTGCAAAGACCTGGTCACCCGCCGCTCCCTGGGTTACGCCTATGTGAACTTCCTGCAGCTGGCAGATGCCCAGAAAGCCCTGGACACCATGAACTTTGACCTGATAAAAGGCAAATCCATTCGTCTCATGTGGTCTCAACGTGATGCCTACTTACGGAAATCTGGAATTGGGAATGTATTCATCAAGAATCTGGACAAATCCGTTGATAATAAAGCCCTTTATGAACATTTTTCAATTTTCGGGAAGATTCTATCCTCTAAGGTGATGAGTGATGATGGAGGCTCCAAGGGTTATGCATTTGTGCACTTTCAGAACCAGAATGCTGCAGACAGGGCCATTGAAGAGATGAATGGGACACTATTCAAGAACTGCAAGATGTTTGTTAGCAGATTCAAAAGCCGTAAAGATCGAGAAGCAGAACTTAGAAACAAAGCAAATGAATTCACCAATGTTTACATCAAAAACTTTGGAGATGACATGGATGATAAGAGACTGAAGGAAGTTTTCAGCAAATATGGTAAAACTCTGAGTGTTAAGGTGATGACAGACTCCATTGGGAAATCCAAAGGATTTGGCTTTGTGAGTTTTGATAGCCATGAGGCTGCCAAAAAAGCTGTGGAAGAAATGAATGGGAAGGACATAAATGGGCAGTTGATATTTGTAGGCCGAGCACAAAAGAAAATAGAGCGACAGGTTGAGTTAAAGCAAATGTTTGCCCAGCTGAGACAAGAAAGAATTCTACGGTGCCAGGGAGTGAAGCTCTATATTAAGAACCTCGATGACACCATTGATGATGAAAAGCTACGGAAGGAATTTTCTTCTTTTGGATCAATTAGCAGAGTTAAGATAATGCAGGAAGAAGGCAGAAGTAAAGGGTTTGGCTTGATCTGCTTCTCTTCCCATGAGGAGGCTACTAAAGCAATGAATGAGATGAACGGTCGTATCTTGGGCTCTAAGCCTCTCAACATTGCCTTGGCCCAGAGACAGGAAGAAAGAAAAACATACTTCACCAGCCAATATTTGCAATAGGTGTGGAAAGAATAGTCACCCCTGCCTAAATTGCCCTTAGCGTATTTCAAATATTGTGTGGTGGCCACTTAGTTTAGTAAACTTTCTCATAAAAAGATTCATATACAAAACCATATATTTTCTGTGTGGAAAACTAAATGAACCTTAGAAGTTTGGTTTTAATTACAATATTGTATTTTTTTTCCTTATTTTTATGATGTATTCATAACAATAAGTGTAATTAGATATATTTTTATTACATTTTGAACCAACTGAAGTGAGGTAATAATTTGAGTTTATTACATATTTACTTGTATTTTAATATTACTAGCTTTAATTTGTTCTTTGTCAGTATTCTCAAAATAGTAATTTTATCTGAGAATTCCAAAGAAATGTATTGTTAGAAACAGAATCTTGCTAATTTCTCATGTAAATTTTGTTTTGTTTTGAGAAATCCGAAGTTTAAAAATTAGACAGAATACAAATTGAGTTAACATCTGATTTTATTTTTAAGTAATGGATAAAATACTAAGAAAGTTTAAATTTCTTTTAATTTTATTTTCTGATGTGATCATTTTTCCAATAAGGCTGGCATTAAGGTTATGGAGGTTTTTAATGTGGCCTGCATACCTGCTAGCTACAATATTTTGATACTCTTTCCATTAGTCTTCTGTGATTCAGATACATGCTAGTTATCTAAATTGTGACTTGCCTAGTGTATCCTTGATTTCTACATTCCTTGAATTTTAAACATGTATCAATTCAGGTGACCAAAAGATAGCCTGATTTTATTTTTCTTCATACATAGACAACTTAATAGTGTGCCTTAACTTTTTACCAGATACTAATATTATAAAAATCATATGTAGAACATATTATATCTGATTAACAACTGTGTTTCTTAATCTCTATATTTTTCCATGTAGTGATATTCTCTCAGGGGTTGGAGAAAAAAGTAAGTTTCTATATTTTTAAGAACTAATGTTTCTTTTATTAGACTGTGAGATGTATGTTACCCTTTGTATGTAGCCTTAACTGATCAGAAGATTCACTTATTGCTTTTCTGATAACTTACAATTACACCACTTAGCCTCCCTTTTTAACATATTTTTTTTATTTTAACTCAGTTTCATTCCCAGATCTCTCATTCCTTATTACCTTTCAGTTATATTACTCAACTCCTTTTTATACTTGTGTAAAGATTTTATTATATTGACTTGTAATATGTGCCACTCCAAATCCATTTGGAAAAAGAGGAATAAACAATTTATTTCATTTAAATAATTATTTTAAAAATTCTGATTCACTCATGCCAAAGATGTCTAGAAAATATTTTCCTCCACTTTACTTCTGTTTTTTGCTTCTTTTACATATATTACTAGAACAGACAAAATTTAAAATCTTTTTATGGCATTATTTTATGAAAGAATAAGAAAAATCTATTTCTGTTTATTTTAAGTATATATTCATCAACAAGGAGCTCTGGTAGCATAGTGCCTAAGGCACTTGACTGCTAACCAGAAGGCTGACGGTTCAAACCCACCAGCCACTCCTTGGAAGGAAGGTTGGGCAATCTACTTCCGTAGTGATACTGCCTCGGAAACCCAAGGAGGGGTCGCTATGAGTCGGGGCCGACTCGACGGCATATAACAACAACAACAACAACAACAATTCATCAACAAACAGTTTCAAAATTAAAATCTTTTTTAGACAATGAAAAAATTAGTAAGAATCACATAAATCACTCATACACACAGATCATCTGTTAAACCATGTTGGATATCCTCATTTTTTCTACAATACACAGATAATGTAACAAAAATAAAATCATAAATTTGTAATTGCTTTCTTAGTTTGACAATATACTATCTCCGACTTACATATTTATAATTATTTACATTATAATTTTAATGACCTTTATATTTCATGAAATAATGTACCATAATGTAATGATAAACAGGTTGCTAGTATGTTGGGTTGTTTTTTTTTTTTCCTCTATCATGAACAACTTTGGGATGAACATATTTGTAAACTCATGTGTGCTAATAAGGAGCTCTGGTGGCACAATGCATAAGGCATTTGAGTGCTAATCCAGCAGCCCCTCCGTGGAAGGAAGACCGAGAAATATACTTCTAAAGTTTTGCCACCTTGGAAACTCAATGGAGTTTACTGTGACTTGGAATTGACTCGATGGCAGTGAGGTTTTTTTTTTTTCCCCCCGGTTTGGTATGTGCTGATATATCAAATTATTTTCTTAACAAAATGTGTAGAAGTGGAATTAATAGTTAAAAAGAAAGCAATTTTTAAAATAACTGATAAATATTGTCCAAATATTGTCCAGAAAACTTGTGCCACTTACACTTCCATTGTCAATATAAAGAAAGGCTTTTTTCCATATACTGCAAGAACATGAGATTTTGTCTTTCAGTTTAAGTAGTCCACTTCATTTTTCTGTGTAAAACAATATATTTCACAATTGGTTCATTTCAATTTTTTTTATCAGTGCCAATGTTAAACATCATTTCTTATTTTTAGTAGCCATTTGTATTTTCACATTTGTGAGTTAATCTTTCATGATCTTAGTGTAGATTTCTTTTGGAATATATGTACATTTTATTTATATGAATATGGAAGATTTCTTTAAATATTAAAAACAGTTTAGACTTTTCTTTTTCTTTCTAATACTCTCTTGTGTATAGTTTGAGAACCATTCTAACGTTTAAAATTTATAAATGCAAAATTTTAAATCTTTTACTTATAATGGCTTTGATATCATGCTTCAAAACACTGTGAAAGTGTCATGTATACAAGCCATCTGTATTGTCTTCTTTTATTTTCAGTTTCATATTTTCAATACTTTTACAAAACATTTTTCTATAAAGTATCTTATCTAGAGGCAATAGTAAATCTGTTAAAAGGTCATGCTTTTCAATCTTTATAACATGTGTTTTGGTGAATACTGATCTATCCTAAGAATTTATGTGTATACCAACTCTAATTCATTGGATCTCTGATTCACTGTTTTGAGAAGTATTCATCTCAAAAATAGTTATGAAAGCGTACCAAGCAACCTGTGAGAGTAGTAGGTGTGTCATGGATTGACATCTCTTTCTGAATAATCCAATTCACAAAATTTTTAAATATTATGTACCATTGTTTAAAAAGATTATGAGAACATAGTTCTCTCTTATATGCCCAGGAATTCTGTCAAATTTCCCTTAGTGAATTTCAGATTCTATCTGAAATCTCTTAGTGGTGCAAATAGTTAAATGTTCAACTGCTATCACATGTTTAGTTGTAGTAATTCCTTCATAAAATAGAGTAATCAACCATCTTTGCAGAACTAGCTTATTTTCAATATCTATGGTAAGAAATGACTAAGTCAGCTTACAAAAATATAGATATCATTGGTTAATTAATTTGAATTTTGCTCATTCAACATATTTGTGTGTGTGTGATACCAAGCCATTCTAGTTGACAGTACAATGGCCCAGGGAACCAGTTCAGGTTCCTTATTCTAAGAAAATTAAAAGTTGCATACCCAAGTGCCTTGAAAAATAAATAGAATTTTCATATTTCTAATATACATTCCGGGAGCTCTGGTAGCGTAGTGGCTAAGACACTTGCCTGCTAACCAAACGGCTGATGGTTCAAACCCACCAGCCACTCCTCGGAAGGAAGGTTGGGCAATCCTACTTCCGTAGTGATACTGCCTCGGAAACCCAAGGAGGGGTCACTATTAGTCGGGGCCAACTCGACGGCACACAACAACAACAACAATATACATTCCATTAAAAAGTGATTTACATAGGGTTATCATTATCCACTGTTTCCACTCCCCCAAAAAACAGATGGATGAATCTTTTTTTATAGGTGCCTGTTTATATGTATAGCCAATCTAATAAATATGTGCCTTTTAACATTAATATGATCATGTTTAATGGAAATCTATATTTGGGGAAAATAAGCTTTCTAAAGTTGATATATTCATGTTCTTACTGTTACATAAATGTATGGAGAAAAGATTAATTAAAGTCTAATATTGCATTGATGAAGATGTGTCAAAATGATTTTTTAAAATTTTTGTATCTATTTCTAATTTTCAAAAAATCAGTTTCTCCTACAAATGAACTGAAAACAGCTTGTACTTTTGAATTAAGATACTCATAATTCATGTTTAAAAAGCCAACTCTTATATGCAATAAACCAAAAACCAAAACTCTCTGCCATCAAGTCGATTCCAGCTTCTAGCAACCGCCATTGGGTTTCTGAGGCAGCAAATCTTTACGGAAGTAGATTGCCCCCTCTTCCTTCCACAGAGCAGCTGGTAGGTTTAAACTGTCAACCTTCTGGTTAGCAGCCAAATGCCTTGGGCACTGTGCCACCAGAGCTCATTACTATATGCAATAGTATTTCTTTTTTTTCAAATTACTCATATTTATGGTACCATGATTAAAAAGAAAAAGTGAGTACAGGTCAAGCTTTAATGAAGAATACTTGATTATCTTCTGGATTTAATTGTTAAAGTATAACAACATTTGGATTATAATTCTGGAATAATTAAGGTAATTCAGCTAACATATTGAAGATTTAAAATTAACTTCTTTCATATTTGGAAATATGCCTCATGTAGCTTTTTTAAAGTATCTAAATAAAACACCTAAAATATAATTGTTTTATCTATGTTTTTTTAAAGCAGAAAAAATTAACTATCCTCAGGATGAGTTCAGGTTCATGTAACAGAAAATTTTAAACTGGAAAATGAAATTTTACTGAGCAAAAATTTCAGATTTAAGGCATCTTCACAGATGCCATATCAGGGCTTCTGCACCACTTTTGCTAGTTTCTTGGCTCCTACCTCTCCATATGCTGGCTTAATCATCAGGCAAGTGGAATTCTTGTATTCGTACACAGACACAATGACATTGAGAAAGTAATATCTTTCTTAGAAAGTCTTTAACAACTCTTGTTACCCCTTCAGTTATCATTGTCTGATAATTAGGACATAAATTTATCAAGAT